ATCTATTCACATTTTTTTTATGCTCAATGAAAAAAAACAATCACAAAAAACAACAACAACAACAAAAGAAAAACAGGTGGCTATCAAAAGATGCCAAACCTGATCAAAAATAAAGACAAGAAAGGCTGAAAAGCAGACATGATCCCCACCAAGGAAATTCTCTACGCACAGATGGCTCTTCCTGTTCCTGCGGGGTTCGCTGCTGGTTGGTTGGGAGGAGCCATTGGGGTGTGGGGAGGATGTAAAAAGGCGATTACATCACTCGGTGCACTTTTGGCAGAAGAAATATGACCCAACAGTCCGGGACCAAGTCTGGGCCGTACTATTTCTGTATTCATAACAGTGAGCGGTAATAATAAATAGCTGCAGCGCTCCTATCATAATTTCAGTGACCTTTAAGAAACCGCTCTGGCATCACTGTACCAGGACGACTGGGTGCCAAACCACATCCAGCTGGAAAAGGGACATACTTAAATTCAAGCCTCACAGGACTGCTTAGTCGGCTGCTTTTTTATCGCGAGAGGCAGGCCTGATTCTCCCCCTGTAATTGCTGTGATTAGAACTAAAAGGGACAGCGTGAACAGAGGGGTCGATGACGGTTATAACATGCAGATGGAATCCAACTGTGATCGGAGCAGAGCGGAGGGGAACACCTGTTGTGGCCGAGAAGAGGCAAACACAATGGAAGGAGATTGGTCAGGTGAAAAGAGCTAAAATAAAGTCGGCCATCTGCTCCGTGTTATACAGCACCTTCCAAAGTATTCATACCCTTCAATCATGTCAGCATTCGGCACTCGTCAAGATATTTTTATTGGGATTTTTACACAGAAGACCAAAACAAAGCAGTGTGTAATGGTAAGGGGAAACGATGGGATACTTTGAAAAGTGTGTGGAGCATTAGATACTGGAACCACCTAAGCTATCTCCTTTCAGAGCAACAGACGAAGATCATTTCAACCTCTTGTATCCAGGCTCCTGTTCTTCTCGTCAGGATCCAGATCTGGGCCACTTTTTTCCACAGAGAGGACAAAAGCCTGACTTATTCTACTGAATCCTAAGCTCAACCACAAGTCCCACCCACAATTATGAAAATTACTTATGTTCATCCATCACAAAAATACAACAGGGACAATTTGAGGTAATGTGATAAAATGTGAACAAGTTCAAAAGGTGGGAATACTTTTGTTAGTCACTGTGTGTATTTCTCATCAAAGTATAAATTTTTACACATGAGCAGTTGAGACATATGCATCTCGGTTAGGGAGGGTGGGTGGATTTGAGGACTTTACAACAGGAAGCACTGCTATACAAATAAAGTTAGAGAGCAGAAACAGAACACTGAGGCATGCCAGCTGACTGATTCTCCAACATGATTCATGATGATATCCCCCTCCGTGTTTAGGCTTAAAGCATGACATCATAACACAACAGAAACAAGTCATGATTAATGTAGATGATAAATCATCAGTTGTTACCAGCACATTTCCCAGCCATGAATGTCTGTGTTGGTGAAGGACCACAGCCGAGCACAAACAGCCTGTTTCATGTTGTAAACCGTTCCGGAGTGGTTTTGAATCATTCTACGTGTGGAAACGGCGCACCGAAAATATCTCTTTTTGCATACAAGTAAAGCCCGATTTAAACGCAGTGTAGCTTGAACGAACAAATGAAATAAAATGTGTCAAAACAAAATACCACGAGGCATGTTTTCTCCAACTGGTGAAAAACAGGACCAGAAGTTTTCTATAGCTGCTCTTTATGAGACTTGTAAAAGCTGCCAGTGGATGGTTCAGCAATACAGCAGCAAACTGTTGCACACTTACTCTGTGCCAGACTCACTTTCTCCACACACACACACACACACACTGTCCTGACTCATAACTAAACTCACAGAAAAACAAGGGGATCAGATGACTCTGGTTAGGCCCCAGAGCAGAACATAAGTGCCGTTTTTACTCCCTTTACAACAAAAGAATGGTTCACCAGATGCTCCGAAGTGACTTTACATAAACTCCCCTATACAGCTTCCTGTTAGCAAAAGCTGTCATTATTAAGACTTTTGAGGTCCAAATTATGATTAGTACCTTTTTTAATATTACAGTAAATTATTTGTTTTAGGTTGCTGATGTCTTCTAAAACAATGACTAAACTTTTGAAAATGTGTTTTTTTGTATTGATTTTCTTATTAGAGAGAAAAAAAAAATCACAAACAAGCATAAATTCAGTGGCTTTGCCAAGCTATCATGGGGCTAGCTTATTTAGGTCACCACCAAAATAGCACATATTTATTCTTCCCACAGTACAGCAATAGCAGAGGAAAAAAAAGCAAATCAGCAAAAAAAAAAGTGTACCACTTTATATTTGAATCTGGTCACTTCTAGTATTTTACGCAGTAAAGGAGAACTGAAATGCAAAAGTTGACAAACTACTTTATTGATGACCTTGTCACCAACCCATCCTCCTGATGGCTTTTCACACCCAGCTCATCATGAGTTCAGCCCCTTTCTCACATTTACATGCCGTTTTTGCAAGTCTGGACTTGTCCAGTTTTCTCCTTCAGAGTTAACCCAGCTCAGGCCTGCTAACCTGGCCATCGGGTATTCAGCTCGACCTTCCGGGCTACTGAACAAAGAGCCCTGCAGTCCCTCTCTCAGAATGCAGGGAAAACAGAAGACGTGAAATATCTGGGCAACAGGCAATGTGCTTATCAGCACCAGAGAAATAGTACAGCACATTCAAAGGAACAATAGGACAACAGTGACTCCCTGTCTAACAAGGACTCATTGGTGTGAAGCAGACTCTGCAGAAACAGGTTTAGAAGATTTGCGGATGGCAGCGAGTGCCAGCAAGTTAATAAACCCTGAAGGGCGACGAAAAGATAAAAAGCAGGTAATAAGTCTTGGCAGCCACTGGAAAACTGTGCTTTACTCATTCAAAAAAAAGAAAAGAACTGGTCATCTTAAAGAGGGGTAGCATCTTACATTAGCAATGATAATGCGGTTAGCATTACTAAATGTAATGCTAACCAGGTGTGCTTTCTGAGGAACAGGGTTACTTACTTAACTTAACTCACTTGAAGCCTGCCGCAATATGCAATTATTTGTAAGATAAATCAAAATGAACTCCACATCATTTCTATTCTGATGATTAATATTTTTTGAAGGGCAATTTTGTTTACTGTGACATCACAGTCTATTTTATTTATGGTTTTGGTTGTGTGTGTGTGTGAGGGTTTGTTTTTTACATCCGTTTTATTTACCGTTTCTGGTTGTCATGTTTTATTTCGGATAATTTAAAAATTTTTCCAGTTCCAGCACATATTGCTCATTACAAAATTAAAATGTATTGGTCTTCAAGATGGCGAACTTGTATCATTATGCTATTAACAGTATGTCGTTTGAAAATGGCTTTAAAACTACACTATATTCATTTATTGTGATAATTGCAGGGAAGATGTATCATCTAGTAACATTTATTATGATGACCGGCCTGCTGCCATAAAATCCAAATCCAGAATGTTCCATGAGTAATTAAGCAAAAAAATAAAATAAAATAAATAAATCATTCTGATTGTCTTGTAAGCACAGCAAACATGTCCCCAGAATTTTTTTTATATTTTTTATTCTGGGGATAGAATTTTTAAAAATAGCTCTGATTTTATTTTAAACACTTCACTGATACTAAATTTAGCGAGTGAGTTTATGAGTTTTTCCTGCAGATAGACTGGGTAGCATGTTGCATTCACTTATGGAAACAATTAATTAAAAATAGGAGTTGCTTTGTTGTATGTAGTTTCCAACCAGTCAAGCTGAAAAGCTTTGGTGACAATTCGTCTGTGCTCCCCATTCTCAGATTCCCAGTTCAATCTCCTCTCTAGTGCAAGTAGGAATGTTCACATGACTTGTGAATTAACAGCAAGGTTGTTTTTGATGGGAGCATGCTTTGCTGCATTGCTAGGCTATAATTAAACTATACCGGGGCTCTCATTGAGCCACCAACCTTGGCCTGTCACATCCCACTGCTGCCTGTCTGAGTCAGTGTTTCCATATACAGGATACCAAAAAGCTGGCCAAAAAAAAAAACAAAACCAAGGGTTAAAAAATCCAGAACCCAGAGGATTTGTTTTGTGGAACTTATTGAGGGGGGCGGAGGGTGATGGGGGGTAAGATTACTGTATGTTTTGGAGTCTCATTATCAGCAAAGGTAGAGCAACCGAGCAGCAGTTTCGTAACACAGTCGATTGCCGATTGACTGCAGTTAATCTGATCATGACCACACAACACTGGTCCTTCACTGGCTTTCTAATATGGTGCGACTCTGTTGTGGACTAACCCGAGTCGCCAGGACATGTGATAACACACAACCAAGCAGCACCAGCAGTTAATAAACAGCTTAGGTTGTTAAATCCCAATAAGTTCCACAAAACAAAAAAAAACTATCGGCAATTGTGTCAGAGCACAGATTTTGGCACTGGGATCCCATTGCATATTCATGCCCTGACATAATTAGTGCAATTACACTGAAACAAACAAGGCTGTCTCCTCTGTTCCTGTTTAAGTCTTGGTGCAGACACAGCAAAGCTATAAACAGGTTGCAGAGCATAAGGCAGGAGCCTTATTTCCACAACAGGGTGGGTGTCAGGAACATTTTGCAGCAGGCATACTGTCAACCACGAGCTACTGGAAGGAACAGTGTATTATGTGGCAGGAGAGCAGCAGAGAAGGTTATATGTGGATGAAGTAAACAAAATTAAAAAATAGGGAAAGGGAAACAGCTGACAGTGGAGTGTATGCACATCCTCATCTACTCAGGTCAGGTTTTGTAAATTCATGTAACCAGCCGGACCAGCTGTTACATAATTGTTGTCCTCTCTCTAGGGGTTTAGGGTGGGGGGAATGGGTAAAGTCAGTCATGTAAAGCTGGTTGTACACACAGTTTGCCCACACAGAGTTGTGCATGTATCCGGGTGTGTATGTGTGTGTTTCAGCTTGCTCACATACCTCGCTCGGGCTTCATGTTGTCCAGTGTCATCTGGTTGACTTCAGGGTCGTCTTTCTGTATCACGCGCAACTTTGACAGCAACACGACGGTGCCTGGAACCCCAAAAAGCCCCCCTTTAATAAAAAAAACAAAACAAAAAAGAAAAGAAAGAGCCCCTCTGGCCCCAGCGACCTGCCTGCTGTATTAGCTAAGCGACGATATCAGCTGTAAGCCTGCGTGTCAGTGCCAACTGCCCCCCAGCCCCTATCCAACAACAAAGCCTGGCTTTGTTAGCATGCTCCTGTCCGCTTCCATCGAGTCGCACTGTGTTCCCCAACTCACACAAAAGACAGCTGATACCAGGAGCGTCGGGCAACCGAGTTGTCAAACTGCTTGCTAGCGAGTTAACCAATCTGCGAACTAGTAATCCAACTAGCAAGCTGGCTCCTCTCTCAGCTTGTCTCAGATTCCGCCACCTGAATCATAGTTAAGTCGGGATTCATTTCGCAGTCCCCCCCCCCGTCCACAGCTTGTGTAACGTTGATACCACCGCTACGGAGGCTCGCTAACTCAGCAGTGCAGCTAGCGCCGCTGAAAACTCGACCGACTAACCTCTTTTCGTTGATGTTGGTTCACCGTCCAAACATCTCAGCTCCTGTAAGGTAGCTCAGCCCGGCTACAAACGCTCTCTGGACGGGGTTGCTTGTTTTTTTTTTTTTTTTTGTTCGTTTTCCATTCGGAAGGGGGAGCGACGGCGACGCAAATTTTTAGCCTATCATTGTGGTCACAAAAATGACAAAACGTTGTCAAACGAGTTTGGTCCGCTTTCGAGGTCGAGCCTTCGCCATTTACTTGTCGCTGGAAACGCCACCTGCGCCGACTTCCTTTGTGGTCCTCATTAAAACTTTTGCAAGCCGACAACAACAAACGAGCCGACTCCGAGCGAACGCTTCAGTGACGACGGCAACGTCTGCCGCGAGCCCGCACCGAGCCGCTAGCTGGGTCGCCAGGCTCCTGCGCGAGACAACTATCGGACAATATTCAGGCGAAATGCGGATTAAAGGAACAGCGAGTCCTGCTAGTCGTGATGCTACTGTCTGCCTCCGCCGCCTCGCTTCCCTCCCCGCTGCTTGTCAAAACAGATCAGCGCAGCTCCAGTCACGTGTCCCAACAACAGCCCCGCTCGTCACTTCCCTCCGGGGCCCAGCCTGAACTTGCAGTCATGGCAACCGCCAACTTGGTGCTGGTACCAAAACTTCTCCGGGTAAAGACCCGCGGCGTCTCGACGCGAGCAGATATTCACGAACGAATGCCGCGAGGCGAGTGTTGTTGTTGTTGTTTTTTTTTTTATTAAACGTCTGTGACGTCAGTGACAGTTGGAGGCTCCTTGCTGTAACTCATAACAAAAAAAAACAAAAAAAAAAACAGATGCAAGCTGATTGGTCGGTCCAAGTCGGTGCGCGTTCACGTGCTCACGTGAAGGTTCATCTTTGTCCATTGTGAACATTTTGTTCTTAGGCTGAGGTGTGCAACAGGAGCATATGTCTGAGGTCAGACTATTAAACAGTAAACGTGTCTCATTTGGCCTTTGAAATCCACTGATTGAAGGTTGAACATTTCAGAGCCGATCAAAAGTTTTCCAGGGGCCCGGGCAGAATTTCTCTTCAGGGCCCAATTCCAGTTAAATTTGGTGCCAATTCTATGTTGTTTGAGCTAAATCTGTTTTGTTTTGTTTTTGTTAGTTTTTTTTGTTTGTTTGTTTTTTTTTGTGGATTTTGCTTTTATCACAACTTGTTTTAGATCTACTTGTAAACCAGTGGTTGATTCTTTAAAATAATAGTTAAATTTTTTTCAAACCGAGTTATGTTGAAAAGTAATAAGCTGTCGATATCTTACCTGTGGCAGATTGCACTTGGTGATTTTACTTCCTGTCTGAACAGAGTAGACAGAGTAAACAAAGTGACGGTGATCAGAAAGCAGACTTTTACCATCTTAAATCAACATGAGTCTTAAAAAAAAATTCAAAATGGCTTCCAAGAACAGATTTAAATGTACGACTTAAACTTCTATCATGTTTCATTTGTATTCTTGTAATTCTTTCGTCTTCTGTTGAACTTAATTTATCAAAGAATCACTTCTAGCTCATAAAATACTAAAAAATAAAGCTGGTTGAAATTTTGAAGACCTAAATAAAAATCAGTATTGGCTAAGACAAAAATGGGGCATCTTTATTTCAAACTCACCTTCACATAAGTTCGTATTAGAAACGTCTTGTTCCTTCCCTGAACATGAGGTGACAATTTTAATAGAACTAGAAACAAAACAAACAAACAAAAAAACTGGATAAAATCTCTTTTCTGATCAACTGTCTCAGAGCAAAGGCCGAGGACACAAATACGAGGTGCTCGCAAAGAATGCACTAACTGAGAGAAATGGTCTGTTGCGTCTTGTTTTGAGATGGGTCAACTTTTATTGAGCAAGTCATTGTATTGATTTTGCAAATTGACTCACATGTGCATTGTTGTTCCAGCAAAAAAGAAACAACAACAACAAAAACAAACAAAAACCTGTAAATATGGGTCATAAAGTACACAACAATGCAAACTGTGTGTCTGACTGAAGGGCGAAGTTTGAGGACGACGTGTACAGGTGAAACTAAATATTGACTGCAGCAGATTAAGCAAAGGTTCACTCTTCTACAACTCATGCCAGGTCTAGACAACCCGAGCTGATTCGCAGAAAACACATTGCCTGAACGCGAGACCCTCTCTCAGTGCAGTACTGTTATTGTCCATTGTGTAACACTTTATTATTACTTTGCTGGATGTGTTAACAGTGCAATTTCTCCCACAAAATTTGGAGACTAGATCACCCTCTCCCAAATGAAACATGGTGGTGGCAGCGGCATGCTATGGAAATGCTTTCCTTAAGTAGGCCCTGGGAAACTGGTGAGTTTAATTTATTTATTTATTTTTTTGATAAAATTATGACTCTAGTTACATGGCAATGCTGGGGTAGGGGCGGAAACTCATTAGAGGCTTTAAAAAGACTGGGGTCAAGGTTCACCCAGCAGTAGGAAAACAACCTCAGCTACAACGGAAGGGTTTAAATCAAACAATAATCGCATTTTGCAATGGCCTTGTCAAAGTCCAGACCTAAATTCAACAGAACGTCTATGACAAGATTACTCTGGAAATTGCTTCTTCGCAGATGCTGGCCATGCAGTCTGACAGACTGGCCATGCAGAGTGGCAGGGCGTGCAAAACTGATAGAGGCACTTCAAGATATATATATATATATATATATATATATATATATATATATATATATATATATATATATATATATATATATATATATATATATATATATATATATATATATATATATATATATATATATATATATATATATATATATATATAAAAAGGGTCTCCTGAGGATTGGTGGAAAATCCCAGTTTTGAAATGTATTCCAGGTCGCTCCTCATATTTCAACTTAAAACGAAACATGATTCATCTGCTCAAAAATGGTTATTTCTAATCTGTGATTGCATTTAATACAATCCAGTCATGACCGCACATAAATGAATTACAAATCAGTTTTATGACATGGTCTGTTCAGCTCATCTAAATGCACCAGTAGAGGAAAAACATTCCTTCAGCAGTGCCACACAAGAATTTAGGTTGGGAAACTAAATGTCACATCCCCATCTAGTGGCAGGATAGAAACAGTGGCACAACTCAGGAGGAGTAGCAGAATAAAGGTCATTGCACTGGGCTGATCTCAAAAAATATACTAACTATAAACATGCAGGAGTTAAATTCTATGTCTGAATTCACATTATTTCTTTTCCAAATTCAATTTTAGTTCTTTGCAGAATCTCTTTTTCACATCTTGACATAGCACAGCTTCAAAGCTTTACTTTTGCAACTTATCTCTTTACACTACTGTGTGTATGATGCTGTTAAAATGAAAACAGTTCAATTAGCTAAACGGCACACGAGCCAAGGCTAAATAGCTGATCCAAGAACTTTGGCTGAATTTTGGATTTACGGCATGTTCTGGCTGCGTATTGGCACTTACACCTGGACCGCCTTTTGCTGGAACATTAACTATTCTAAGGTAATAAATTTGTGGTTGCATGCCTCTGGACGCTTTCCATATTTTAAAGGCTGGCGGATGCTTTCACTGCTCTTTGAGGCTCAAAGTTGGTCACTGTAATGACTCAGCAGACAAACAGAGTTCAGGATGACAAGAATGTTTAAAACTGTTGCAGAAATGTGACTGCACAGAAAAAGATAGTAGTTTTTAGTTTAAATCACCGAATGGACGCAGGTCGGCAAGATATGCCAACAGCTGATTTTGTCACGTCATAATTGCAAACATTATTGTATTGCAGTGGGACATGATGAGCAGCTCAAAGCAGTGCAGAACCCTGACATGAGGGAAATACGATACGTTTTTCATTTTCTGCAACTACAAATTCACCCTAAGCTGCAGTGACAGTGGAAAGTGACTTAAAAGCATAACCTTTTGACAATTCATCTTTGGAAAGTGGCTCTGGAGGTCATCCGTGAACATCGCTTTGTACATCTTGCCAGGGATCTCGTATTAATTTTAGGCCAGAACTTTGATTAGGCCGTTCTAATTTGCGTTGCGGTCGTGTGTTTTGGGGTCACTGTCCCTCTGGAAGGTGAACCTTCTTCACTTCTTCTTGCCACGTTTTGAAAGCCATGTGGTCGTTTCCCTTTCACTTCACATTTGACAAAAAAATCATTTTTCCAACGGATATTAAAACTTTTGCAAGGCACTGCATGAAAAAAAAATGATCTGATTCAGAGCAAAGACAGACTCACGCGCTTGAATCCCTTATCTCCTGCTTTTTCTTATCCGATTTGGAGGTTTATTGATTCAATTTATTTGTCTGTGTACTAAAAAAAAATAAAAAAAGGACCAAAACACACTCATCCCAGAAATCAAATAAGAAAGAAAAAGTAATAAAAGAGCCGAGACTCCATACGTTGGAAATACCAACAGTTTATTTTCTACCTTTTTTTTTCTTTCTTTTTGTGTGTGTGTGTGTCTACAAGAAATGTTGAAACATTTGAACACTGAAAAAAGCTGGATGACATCATCACTTGCTTCTCATTTTTCTTTCTTTTTTTGTTTTAAATTATTATGATTATTTTTTATTTTTTTGCTTAGCAATCACAACAGATGATATTGCACGGCACTGAGAAAGCAGTAGCAAAGCTCGGAGATGACAAGTCACGCGCAAGAAAAAATGAAATAAAAATGAATAAAAATAAAATGGAGTGTTGGATCCAAAAAGGGAAGGAGGTCGAGCAGTTTGGTGGGATTTCACTTTGAAATGCAAGTGCAGGAATGAACAGTGACAGCAATCTGATGTGAGAACAGATATGCTTGTTTTTATTTATTTATTTGTTTCTATCAAAACCCTTCAGGCATCTTTGCGTACGAATAGATCGAGGACGCTGCAGGTGAGAAACTAGTTCCCCAGCGTAAAGAGATCCAGATGATTGTCTTAGGCGCTGCAGTATTGTTGTGAGACTTGTAGTCAAGCTACCCTTCATATGGGAACTCCTTTGGTGACAAAAATTTGTAAAAAAAAATAAAATAAAGGAAGAGGTGGAGAACAGGTACACGTTGTAACAAATGGTTTCTCTACCAACATGCTCCTTTTAATGTCAAATCCAATCCCTCGCACTCTCCTGATGCCACAGCTCCCATCCTGTGGCGTAAGGACTGAGGAAGCGTTCTGATTTCACCTGTTCTGACAGCCGGTGCTTTCGTTAGACTCTGTGGACCAGTGGTGCCCAAAGTCGGTCCTGGAGGGCCGACATCCTGTATGCTTTAGTTCTTCTCCCGGGTTTGACACACCTGGATCCGATCCAATGATGGCTTGTTAGAAGGCCTAAGAAGAACACTGACATGCTGAAAAGGTTGTCGGTACTACCAGGGAGAGAACTAAAACATGCAGGTTCCAGGGCTGACTTTGGACACCCCTGCTGTAACCTGTCTGGGTGTGAAGAGAGGAAGCATCCCTGGGAGCGAGTCGGCTGACCTCTGCAGTAACGTTAGCTGCCCAGTAGCTGCGTTTCCATTGACCGTGTAGTTGCGCAATTTGGGATTACGAAAAAATACATCTGCTCAATGGAAAAATGGCAACTCCCCCCCCAAAAAAAACCCTTATGGTTTCAATGAAGTGTATTTTTTTCGCGCTAGAATGAGGAAGGCCTATTTCGCATACATAACACAAGTCACGTGATCGCCAATGGCGTGAACCACAAAGAAGAAGATAAAGGTTGGCTTGTCA